GAGCAGGAGCAGGGGAGGAGGAGGAGGAGGAGGAGGAGCAGCGACGACGACGACCAGGCGGCCCTGGCGCGGGCACCCGCCCCTTCAGAGGGTCGAGACATCCCCGATCGGTGGACAACTCCTCTTTGGGGTCAGGTCCGCGCGGTCTGGGCCGTGGTCTGCGACCTGCATCGGCTTGGGCTCGGGGGGCACCACGTTGCCCTCGTCGGGCCGCCTGAGGGCGCGGAGGAGAGTTCCGATGAGGTCCTCGCCCGCCCCCCAGGGTGCCGAACCATACCCTTTGCAAACCATGCCCTTCGGAGTCGCCGAGTGAGGGCTGAGAGGTCCCCGATCGGCTGACAAATCGTCTTGGATAAAATCCTTCTGGTTGCTGAGTGGAATGGGGGGTTAGAAGTGGATTCTAAAGTGGGTTATGCTCGGGGCACAGGCAATGACATGAACATGCACTTTGAGAGGTCCGTTCGGATTTCTCGGATCGCCTCGCGGGCGCCTGCCCCCCAAGAGGGCCGATAGGGTTTTGATCGGCTGACAAGCCCCCTCGTTGCGAACATGTTTCAGTGAATGCAACAAGTGTTGCCTTCATTGGGATGACGGCAAAGAGCTCACAGGAGACAAACATCGTTGCATTCAGTGAACAATTGCCTTCAGTGGGCTCATTGCCGCCATCCCGTTGCAAGCATGCCGGCGCAGACATTTGGTTGAGTAGCTCTCTGGCGAGGGCGCGAAACGTCCATTGCACCAGAAAGCTGACGCAACGTTCCAGCCAATCATCCAGAGTCTCACCACGGAGATTCTTGTACATTTCGTCCTTCTCATTGGATGCCAGCATTTCCTGGCCGCAACCAACGAGTTCGGTCGCTACTGAGTTTTCTTTAAAGTCTGGTATCACTCGCAACCGATCTACTTCAAAATTGGTTGTGACCGATATGGAGTGCCCATTGGTCACCACCGATCGTGACCGAAACAATCTGGTTTCCAGTGATCTGGGGCAGACAGTGTTTTAACATGTCTGGTCTCCAGGGGCTTTCGTCGGGCCCCAGGACCGTCAGAGGGCGACTCAGGCTGAAAAGCCAGGCCCTGTTCAGGTGTCCCCAGATCATCTGTCGGGGGCGGCAAAGAGGAGGGTGATGACCAAGGGGGGGGGGATATCATGGCGGGGCCCATGATATTTCCCCTGATTTCATGGTGCCTCGTCTTATTCCATTACGTCCCTGGCCCCCTTGCTGGGCCGCGCACATGCCGCTGCTCATGATTTGCACCCCCACTCTTGGACGCCCCCCTCTTGGCCGACCGAGCCGGTCGCGACCGAACTTTTGCCTCCAGTCGTGCATTCTGGGGGCGGACGAGCCGTCGGCGGCGACGGGCCCTCCTCGCTTGGGGCCTTGCTCGCCCCCTCCTCGTTGCTGGAGCTCGATCTCCTCCTCTGCCGCGACCGAGATTTGGCGCTGTCGGAGTCTGTTACCGAACACTTCTTCAAGCAGTGGCGAAGCGTCCTGGCGTGCCTAGAAGCCTATTAAGCAATGGTCTAAGAACCTTTTTTGGTTTCCACGAACTGTTCTTAGAACATTTCCGGCTGGGACTGTTTTGTTTTAACACATCGGGTTTATGTTCGAGAGAGTGTGATCCACCGCCGCTTTACTGTGAAAAATTGCCGCCCCTTTCCTCCGGAACCCGGGGGTCTCTCCCCTCCCCCCCCTCCGAAATTCCCCCCCCCATGGCTGGTGGGGGGGCCCCCCCCACGGGCCCACCCCGGCAATACCCACCCCCCTCCCCTAACCCTACACCCCCTCCCCCTCAAGAACAAGGGGGGAGAGTCACCGGGTTCTCTACCGGTTCGAACCCCCCCCCCTCCCCCCCCCACTCGAAAACCGGTGGGGGGGGTTGGGTTCACTTGTCCACGACTGGGTTCGAAAACCCCTCCCCCACCCCCCCTCTAACCGCCAGCAAACGACTCCCGGTCCCTACCACCGTCCTCACCACATCCCCCATTGTTGTTCCCAGCACCACTGTTCTCACCACTGTCCCCACTGGTTCCACACCCGCCCCTACTGTCCCCACCAGTGCCATCACCACTGTCGCACTGTCCCCACTGTCCCCACCACTGTTCCCACCACGGTTCCACTCTCCCAACTTTCTCCACGACTGTCCCCACTGTCCCCACTGTCCCCACTGTCCCACTGACTCCTCCGCTGTCCCACTGAGCTGTCCCACTGTTCCCACGACTGTCCCCACTGTCCCCACCACTGTCCCCACTGCACCTGTGTCCCATTGTCCCACCGCCGTCCTCGCCACCGCCTTCACCACTGTCCCCACCACTGTACCCTCCACTGTCCTACTGTTTCCACCACATTCCCACTGTCCCCACACCACTGTCCCCACCACCACCGTCCCCACCACTGTCCCACTGTCCCCACTGTTCCCACCATTGTCCTCACCATTGTCCCCACCACTACCGTCCCCACCACTGTCCCACTGTCCCACTGTCCCCACCACTGTCCCGCTGTCCCCTCACCACTGTCCCCACCAACACCGTCCCCACCACTGTCCGCACCCCCACTCGGTTTTCGAGGGGGGGGTGGGGGGTTCGAACCAGTAGTGACCCCCCCCCCCCCCTTTTCATGATGAACTGGGGGGGGGGGAGGGGTTCGAACCGGTAGTGACCCCCCCCGGTTTTCCGGAGGGGGGTGGGGGGGAGGGGTTCGAACCGGTAGTGGTGACCCCCCCCCGGTTTTCCGCCAGCAGCGGTAGAACACGCTCTTTCTTATGTTCTCAGAACATTGTTTTTGTTATTTGAACATTGTTGGGTCCTAAGAACATGTCGTGGTAGTCCTATAGGAATGCCGGACGGTCGGTCCCTGCTCATTTTCTGGTCGCGGGTGATATGCGCCGGGAGTGCATGCTGACGTTTCGCCCCCGATACGGCCGAGAGATCCTCGATCGGTTGACGTCATCTCGGTACAAAAATGCATGATTCGGAAAGCACAGGCACAATGAATCGGCGATTCCCGGGAAAAGATGGGAAAACATGGGTAGTGGGGGGAAGGCGAAAACCCAGAACATTGGGAAGCAATTGCGAATCCTGGGATTTGTGTGTGTATTAATTCGTGTGTCCCTGGGCCCCCATCAGCGATCTTTCTGTTGGATGGGTTTCTGCCTCCTGGAACCCTCGGGCCACGGGGCCATCAGAAGACGATGCAGGATCAGGAGCCCTTTCGGTGGACGGGGTCCTGGCCTCTGGGGAGCCGCGCTTCACCGAGCGCGTTCCACTGCTCGTGGAGCGCCTGCTCGCAAACACCCGGAACAGCACGTGTTCGCTCTGTTGTCATGGATCGCAGGTCCCCCGCGCCAGATCCAGGCTCTCTGCAGGTCGTCGCTTCGCGGGCAGTGGAGCGCGCTTGTCTACCGTTGCGAGGTAGTGACGACGGAAGATGTCTGGGCCGGCAAGACCGACAGCAGTTGTTGCCCGTTCGGAACGGGACTTCTTGCCGGCGTCGCCACGGACGTCGTCCACTCGAGGCGAACAACCGATGGCGCAACAGCGGCCGCGGCTGCTTTGGGATCCCGTCTGCTGTTGGGCACCAGGGCTCGAGCCAAACGGTGCCCGGGCGATCCCGTGGACCGCTGTCGCTTCGATTCCGCTTCGCAGCAGGGGCAGGAAGAAGAAGGAACGAGGGAGCACGAAGCAAGACGAACATGAGCAATATTGTTTGGCTCGAGCCCTGCTGGGCACCGACGGGACGCCAACAGTGCACCACCACCAGCCCTACACTGGTGTGAGGACCTCCAGGCACAGGCCAGGAGGGCCTGTGCACCAGTCCAGGGCCCAGGATGGGCTTGGCCAGGGCTGGTGGTGGTGTATTGTTTGGATGATGATGATGATGATGATGATGAGGAGGAGGAGGAGGAGGAGGAGGAGGAGGAGGAGGAAGACGAGGAGGAGGAAGACGAGGATGGGCTTGGCCAGGGCTGGTGGTGGTGTACTGTTTGGAGCTCTGCTGGGGCACCGTGCCCACTGCTCCCGTGCCCGTGCCGGGCGCGCGGCAGGGAGCTGCCGATTGCCACGGGTCCGCGCGGATCTCTCGGGTCGGCCTTGCTGCGCCGATCCCTCCTCAATCGCCTCAATATTCAATACACTACTCATACCATTTAATCCCCTTCTAATAATACTAATAATCTTCCTCCATCCTCATACCTACCTCTTCATACCTCATCATCATCCTCACTCATCAACTTCATTATCATCACTCCTCCTCCTCTCACTTTACTCTCACTTCTCTAACCGACCTAATACTACTCCCTTGCCCATCATCCTTTTCCTCTCCTCCCCCCTCCCTCCTCTCCTCCTCACCTCTCCTCATCCTCCTTCCTCCTTCTCCTCCTCCTCCCTCCTCCCTCCTCCTTTCCCTCCCTTCCTCTCCTGCCCTCCTCACTCCTCCTTTTCCTCCTCCTCCTTTCTCCTCCTCCCTCCTCCTCCCTCCTCCTCCCTCACTCCTCCTCCTCCTCCCTCCTCCTCTCCTCATCTTCTCATCCTCCTTCCTCTTCCCATTCCTCCAATCTCCTCCTCTCCTTCTTCCTCCTCCTAGTCTTCTTCCTCGGTCCTCCCTCTTTCCGCATCGTCCCTTCTCCTCCTCCTCCTTCCTCCTCTCTCCTCCTCTTCCTCACCATTCCCTCATCGATGGGGCACACGCTCGCCTCCTCCTCCTCCTCCTCATCCTCCCTCCCCCCCTCCCTCCTCCTCCTCTGTCAGTCCTCCTCATCCTCCTCCTTCATCATCATACACTGATCATCCCCAACACTCTCTCCTCCTCCTCATCCTACTCCTCCTCCTCCGCCTCCTCTCCTATCTCCCTCCTCCTCCTCCTCCGCCTCCTATCCCCTCCTCTCTCCTCCCTCCTCCTCCTCCTCCTCCTCCTCTTCCCTCCTCCCTCCTCCCTCCTACCTCCTCCTCCCTACTACTCCTCCTCCCCCTCTTCCTCCTCCTCTTTTTCCTCCTCCTTCTCCTCCTTCTCCTCCTTCTCCTCCTCCTCCCTCCTTCCCCTCCTCCAACCTTCTTCTTGTCCTCATCGCCCCACCCGTCTCCTCCGCCTCCGTAGCCATTTTGGCTCAAGCCGTTTTGGCTGAAGCCATTTTGGCACAAGCCCCTGTGTCACTTCGTTCTGGATAGTCTCAAGATGTCGTTATGTCCCTGGAATCGTCGATCAAGAACTGCGGCCTGACAAAACAATGGAGCGCCGCACTTCGCTTGCTCCGCGAAGGAATTCAATTGGGTGTGCAACTCTTCCCAAGCCACTACGTTGCGACTGTCAGCGCATGCAGAAAAGGCGGGCAATGGCAACACGCGTTGTCAGTGCTCAGTGAGATGTGGAAGGCGAAGCTGGAGCCCAACATCATCTATCCTACAGTCGGCCTGGATTAGTAGGTCGACCCTGCCAGCTCAAGGGTACCCTTGTGTCCTGTGCGTCGCGACACGTGCATTCTTACACTCCAACGGCGATGTGGCCTTCGGAAGGGTCTGGTGTCCTCTCGCGTGTCCTCGCCAATGAAGTCCGTCTGCACAATACCGCGGACAGCGCGCGCGAAAAGAGCGAGGGGTGGCATTGAACCAGTCCCCTCCGGGCCAGTCCGGGGGGGGCCCCCGGGCCCCGGGCCGCTCCGGGCGGGCCCTCGGGGTCCCAGAGGCCCCCAAGCCAGCCCAAGCCGGCCCCCGAAGGTTCGAGCCGGCCTCGCAGGGCCCCAAGACGGCCACAGAGGGCCCTAAGACAGCCCAAGGGAGCCCTAAGACGGGCCAAGAGGGACCCCAGAGCTCCCAGAGAGGCCGAATTCATTTATTTTTTGAATATGTTTTCCCATATCCAAAGAATGGGGTTCTTGTTATTCTTCGACCGCGCCGGACCACCCATACCATGATGATGACCATGGTATGGTGAGAGTATGATGTGAGTACGATGGTGATGGATGAGTATTGATGATGCTGATGATGATGATGATGATGATGCTGATGATGATGATGATGATGATGATGATGATGATGATGATAACGATGACGATGATGACGATGATGACGATGATGACGATGATGACGATGATGACGATGATGACGATAATGACGATGATGACGATGATGACGATGAGCAGATGATGAGGATGTCTCGAGCGGCTTGCTGGTTTTAGCACTCCTAAGGGGGGGCCGCCAGGTGTATTGAACGGCCTCCGTTCGCGCCCAAATGGCGGGGTTTTCTCAGGCGGTTTGCTTGTTTTTGTCCCCAACATTCTCCGCTTTCGGAGCAGATTTGGAGGATGTCTCGAGCGAGGCGCTCATTTTTGCCCCCCAGGGGGGGCCAGATGTTGAGGATGCCTCGATCGGTTTGCCTGTTTTGGTGGCCCGACTCGTGGGCACAGATTCTCCCCAGGATGCCACAGGCGGCTCCAGCAGGCTTCAGGAGGCCCCTGGAGGCCACGTGAGGTCCCAGGAGGCATCAGGAGGCCACAGGAAGATTCAAGAGGCTACAGGATGTCCCAAGAGGCTCCAGGAGGCCCCAGGAAGCTCCAGGAGGCTCAGGAAGCCACAGGAGGCCGCAGGAGGCCACAGGAAGCGCCAGGAGGCCCAGGCAACAGGAGGCCCCGAGAGGCCCCAGGAGCAGGAGGCCTCAGAAGGCAACAGGAGTGGCTCCAATCCCATGTGTTTTACGTATGTTCCTCTAGATTGGGCCTCACCTGGAGCACGAATCCTTGATGTTATACAGATGTTTATATATACAATATATATATATATATATATATATATATATTGTCCTTCTCTATATTGTCCTTCTCCTGCGTGTGCAATCCTAATCGTGTTACGTATGTTCCTATAGATTGGGCCCCCCTGGGGCACGAGTCCTTTGTGATTTACGTGTGCTCCTGTAGATTGCCCTTCTCCTGTGGCTCCAATCCGCAATGTTTTATGTACGTCTGTTCCTATAGTTCGGGCTTCTCCTAGGGCACGAATCCTCCCTAGGAGGTCCCAGGAGGCTCCAGGAGGCTCCAGGAGGCTACGCGAGGCTCCAGGAGGCCTCAGGCCACTCGAAGCACCAGAAAGCCCCAAGAGGCTCCTGGAGACCCCAGGAAGGCCCAGGAGGTTTCAGGAGGTCCCAGGAGGCCCCAGGCTCGTGCGCAGGGACGCGCTCGTACTACGGAGACTCATTCACGCTCCAATCCGTTCGAAGTTAGATTCATGACCAGACCGTCACAACTCAAGCCCGCTTATATTCGAAAACTCTTGCGCCTAGACTCTCACGGCGGACAGGTCCATGCGAATAGATGCACATATGGGGAGCTCCACGCAGTGAATACTTTCCCTAAGGATGGGGTTCTTGTCAATCCCCATCTCCTCCATATCCTAAGGATGGGGTTCTTATTATTATTTAGACCGCGCGGAACGAACACCTCCCACCGTCAGACCATCATTCCCTGACTCACTCACATGTAGACTCATTCGTAGCCAGACTCACTCATACTCAGATACACTTGTTGGTCTGCGGGGCGAGAGCGAACCTCCATAACGCTCTTAGATTCTTGAGACTCAAGTTTCTATCATGCTCGGGATCTCTCATTTGCAGACTCACTCACACTCCTGGTGCTTCCGCGCTCAGGCTCCCCCTCTCTCACACACACGCACGCGCGCACGCACGCACGCACGCACGCACGCACGCACGCACGCACGCACACACACACACACACACACACACACACACACACACACACACACACACCACACACACCACACACGCACGCACGCACGCACGCGCGCGCGCGCGCACGCGCGCACGCACGCACGCACGCACGCACGCACGCACACACACACACACACACACACACACGCACACGCACACGCACACATAGACATAGACACACACGCACACGCACACGCACACGCACACGCACACACGCACACACGCACACACACACACAAACACAAACACAAGCACAAGCACAAGCACAAGCACAAGCACAAGCACGACACACACAACACACACACAAAACACACACCCACTCAATCACTCATTCACTCTCTCTCTCTCTCACACACACACGTTGTGAGGATGTCTCAGGCGATGCGCTTGTTTCAGTACTCCCAAGGGGGGGCGCCAGGGGGTATTGCATCCTTCCGTTCGCGCCAAAATGGCGGGGATGTTTCGAGCGGTTTGCTTGTTGTGGTGCCCGACATGCTCCGCTTTCGGAGCAGATTTGGAGGATGTATCGAGCGAGGCGCTCGTGTTCGCCTCCAAGGGGGAGCCGCCAGGGGGTATTGCACTCCCCCGTTCGTGCCAAAATGGCGATGATGTCTCGAGCGGTTTGCCTGTTGTGGTGCCCGACATGCTCCACTTTTGGAGCAGGTTTGGAGGATGTCTCGAGCGAGGCGCTCACTTTCGCATCGAATGGTGAGCCGCCAGGGGGTATTGCACTCGTCCGTTCGTGCCGAAATGGTGGGGATGTCTCGAGCGGTTTGCCTGTTTCGGTGCCCGACATCTTCCGCGTTTGGAGCAGTTTCAGAGGATGTCTCAGGCGAGGCGCTGGTTCAGCACTCCCACAGGGGAACGCCAGAGGGGTATTGCACGGGCCCGTTCGCGTCCAGATTGGGGGAATGTCTCAGGCGGGTTACCTGTTTGGATGCCCAACATCCTTCTCTTTCGGAGCAGCTTTCGAGGGTGTCTCAGGCGAGGCGCTGGTTTCAGTACTCCCAAGGAGGGGCACCAGGGGGTAGATCACAGGCCCGTTCGCGCCCAGATTGGAGGAATCTGATCAGGCGGTTTGCCTGTTTGGATTGGAGCGTGGAGCGAGTCGGATCGCCCTTGGGCCAAGTTAGCCGTGCGATGCCTGGTGCTGAGGGCTCCTGAGGGCCCCCCTCTGGGGGCCCTTCGGGTCCGTGTGCTGGTTATCCGTGCGATGCCAGCGGGGTCACATGGGGCGAATCGCGTTCCCCATGGATTCCCCATGGTGCGTTGCTGTGGCTTACGTCTCAGACGAAGGAGGGCACGCGTCTCGAGTCGGATCGCCCTTGGGCCAAGTTATCCGTGCGATGCCTGGTGCTGAGGGCTCCTGAGGGCCCCCCCCTGGGGGCACTTCGGGTCCGTGTGCTGGTTATTCGTGCGATGCCAGCGGGGTCACATGTGGCGAATCGCGTTCCCCATGGATTCCCCATGGTGCGTTGCTGTGGCTTATCTCTCTGGCTCGGTCTTCTCCCCGCCAGACCCCGCGATGTGCGTGAGGAGTACGGTGAAACTCAGATATTGAAAAGGGCAATGTCTTCTACCGAAGCATGCCATCACTATGAGATGCACATATGGGGATCGTCGCGTCGAGTAATTACGCTTTTCGTGTTCTACCCTTTTCGGGCTTCAGCCGCCCAAGACGGCCTCAGGGGCCTCCCAGGTCGTGCCAGGGCGGCCCCAGAGGCTCCCAAGAGCGCCTCAAGATGACCCAAGAAAGCCCCGGACGGTTCCAAGACAGCCCCACGACGGTCCTGGAGTGCCCCAAGAGAAGTCCCAGAGAAGCCCAAGGGGTCCCAGAGGCCCCCAAGCCGACCCCAGAAGGTTCAGAGCCAGCCTCGCAGGGCCCCAAGGGGGCCCCAAGACAGCCCCAGAGGGCCCCAACGCGGCCCAAGAGAGGCCCAAGCAGGCCCGAAGAGGCCCCAGAAGGGCTTTCAGAGCGGCTTCAAGTGGATTCCAAGAGAGCCCAAAAGCAAGTGGAGTGACGCCACTTGCTTATGGATTCTCTCCGGGCCCAGGCACTTGGGGCGCTCTCCGAGCGCTCCCGGAGGCCGCCTCGGTCCCGCCTGAAGCCGCAGGGTTCCGCAGGAGCGGGCCCCACGAGACCGCAAGGAGGCTTCGAAGATGACTTGAAGTGCATTCCGAGAGAGCCAAAAAGCAAGTGGAGTGACGCCGTTTCCTTTTGGCCCTCTTGAGGTGCACTTAAGCCTTGTTGGAGCCTCCCAGGAGCTCGCCTGATTTCTCCCTGGAGCCCCAGAGTAGCTCCGAGAGGGCCCCGATTGGCTTCAAGGAGAGACCCCTAGAGAGCTCCAAAAGCCCTCCAAGATAGCCCAGAAGCAAGTGGCGTCACTCCACTTGCTTTTGGATTCTCTCTGGGCCCACTTGGGGCCCTCCCGGAGCGCTCCCAGGCGCCGCTTGAGACGCGCCTGAAAAGCCTTGGGGTAGGCCCAAAAGCAGGCCCGAAGAGGCCCAGAAGGACTTTCAGGGCGGCCTCAAGTGGATTCCAGGAGAGCCCAAAAGCAAAGTGGAGTGAAGCCACTTGCCTGTGGAGGCACGCGCTACCAGCACCGCCCCCCTCAATGTCGATAGCGGTGATCACTCCACAGGTACACACGAGTCTCTTCTACAATGCAGGGATCCGCGCGTGCGAGAAGGTCCTCTGTCTTGAGTGCACCCCCGGGCCTTTCGGGGCGCCCTCCGGGGCGCAGATGCCCCAACAACGGTCTCAGGATGGCTCCGAGAGGCTCCAGGGGGCGCCAAGACGGCCTCAGAGCACCCCTGGGAGCTTCAAGACAGCCTTAGAGGCCCCCAAAGCAGGTCTGCTACAGCGCTGGGATCAGCGCGTGCGAGAAGGGCGAGCAGTGGCAACGGGCGCTGGCGCTGCTGAGCGAGATGTGGGAGGCGAAGCTGGAGCCCGACGTCATCAGCTACAGCGCTGGGATCAGCGCGTGCGAGAAGAGCCAGCAGTGGCAGCCAGCGCTGGCGTTGTTGAGCGAGATGTGGGAGGCGAAGCTGGAGCCCGACGTCATCTCTCCTACAATGGCTGCCCCAGCGCCCGCGGATGGTGAGAGCGGTGGTAGCGGACCGGCCCCTTCCGGCGACCCTTGCGAGCCCCAGCAGGCCCCGGCGCGCTTCCAAGATGGCCCATGAGCGTTCCGAGACGCACCAGGAGGCCCCCAAGAGGGCCCCCAGACGGCCGAAGACTGTCCAAGAGGGTCTGCGAGACGCGCCCAGAGCGCTCGACAACGCCTCAGAAAGCCTCCAGACAGCCCAAGATGATCCCAAAACGTTCCAAGTGGGCTCCACGACGTGCCCCAAGAGAGCCTGAACACCGAAAAATCGTCCCATTC